TACAGTTGGAGGCTGTTTCCTTACACAGTTACAGAATGGTAAATTGATAATGATGGATAACGTTACCACAGCTAACTAACACATAAATACTGTTTTAATATCGGTAATATAGCTAGTAAACCTTTAAACGTTAGAGCACTGACAGCCTGTGTTGTATATTTTTGCTATTGTGGCTAAAGTTGCTGCAATGATGGATAACGTTACCACAGCTAACAAACACTTACTGTTTTTATTAACCTTACCTTGCGCTATATCTTGTAAAATAACCTCTATAAATAAAGGTTGAAGGAATTAAATTCCATTAAGTTTCCAGACAGGTCTCCCAAGGGAGAATATACCCGGAAGTAATGATCCACAGCATCGAGTCAGAAAGGCAGTTGTCTGACGTCATTGTGAATAGGGCCTATAAGAGGAGGGTGATAGATGCATGGATGGATGAAAATAAACGTCTTGTTCTTGCACAGTCAGACTTGTCAGACAGGTTTACTACACTGTTTAATTTTCAGCAAAACCTGTAATTGGTTGGAAACACATTTGAAAGTTCTTTTTTAAAAACCCTGTTTTAATCAGCTGGTCTGGAGTGTGGTCAGTAGGTAGAATGACAGGCAACAATCTCTGTGGATGTAATAAACATGTTTCTAACTAGAAACAACATTTGGAGAAAGAAGACAGAAATAAAAACCCAGTGACATGGAACATAAACTACAGAAAGAGAGAGAAAAGTATTTTCTAAAGTGATAATACAAACTGTTGGTGAAGTGCAACAGTTCAGGTGTGTAATAAGTTGCTGCTTGTGTATATTCCAAATTTTCTTCAGTCACTTCCACTTGTTTTACAGATCTGATCTGAGTGCAGCTTCTATGAGTGACACTCTGTCCAGTTCTTTCTCATACAGACACACACGGATCACAGTTCATGGTTTGGTCCAGACGATGCTCCGTGGATGATCTGCACTTCCTGCTAGTTCCCAGCAGGGGGTGCTGCTTCATCACTTCTCAGTCTTTGTTTTGGCATCATATGTCCCAGCGTTCTTGTATGCTCCCACATAGCCGGTGTTCTCCACAATTTCCTCCCGCCCCTCTCGACCTTTGCCCCGTCCGCTCTCATCGAAGCGCTCTTTGTGAGATCCAGTGTAACGGGACGTGTCGGTCAGACGGTCCACTGCTGCCGTCTTTGACACCTTCTGTTGGACACACAGACACAAACGAATAATCTGAAGAAAACAGTAGATCTTTAAGTTGAACTGGAGGGAAATGACTAATGAAATATATTTTAGGCTGTAGCACCTTTTTATTAAAACTTGTTTTAGGAAAGCTTAGTCCACTTTGTAAGTTTTTTTTGTTCTCACACTTAAAATGTTATGATGAGGAGGGTACTATGAAGAATTTCCAGTGGTACTTTGTGCCATGTTTCCATGTAAACACATCTGTTTAGTTAAGAAAACAGGGACAACCTAAACAAAAATGTGTCACGGTAAATACATGTAACAAATGCAGTCTTATGGTAGCTTTGGAAGAGAGGCTGTCTGAACTGGAAGCTCGGCTCTGCGCTGTAGAAAAACTAGGAGCTAGCCAGGTCCCCTTAGACAGCGCGGAACCACAGAGGCTAGCTGCCATTAGCGGTCCTCCAGCAGACCCCTAGCAGCCGGGACCCAAGGCCGGCTAGGTGACGGTCCAGAGTAAGCATAGTGCTAAGGCTAGGCCCCCAGTTCACCACCGACCTGCTCAAGTTTCTAATTGATTTTCCTCACTCAGTGACACACCCGCTAAGAAGCAGACCCTGGTTTTTGGAAGCTCCATAGTCCGAAATGTGGCTTTAGAGACTCCTTCTGCCATAGTCAAATGCATTCCGAGGGCCAGAGCGGGCGACATAGAATCTTATTTGAAACTGCTGACTAAGGCTAAGGCTAAATACAGTAAGATTGTTATTCACGTCGGCGGTAATGACACCTGGTTACGCCAATCGGGGAAAACCTGGTCTGATGCGGAGAGATGGCTTCCATCCCACTTTGGACGAAGCCGCTCTTCTTTCTAGAAATATGGCTGATTTTGTTTATCCCCCAAATTATTGACAACCCAGGGTCCAGTCCAGGAAGCAGAGTTGTAGTCCTCCACACCTCTCTGCTGCTTCTCCTCTGTTACCCACGCACACCCCAGTTGGAACAGTGACAGCTCGCCCATGGCTCAAATTAAATAAACCAAAAATCAGCTCTAAAAATATAAACCATAAAAATCTGATTAAAATAAACAGTTACTTTACCAGAGCAAAATTATAAAATCATTAAGTGTGGATTATTGAACATCAGATCTCTTTCCTCTAAATCCCTGTTAGTTAATGAACTGATAACTGATCATCATATTGATTTATTCTGTCTGACAGAAACTTGGCTACAACAGGAGGATTTTGTTAGTATAAATTGTCAGGGTTTTTGGGTCAGGGACGAACCCAGTAGTGCAGACAGGGACTCAACTTGGCAGGAATACAAAATTAGATATTTAATGATAAAAAATAAATAAAAATACCAGGCTGACGAGGCAGCAAAACTTACATAACAGGATGAACGGGAAACACGGAAGGAACTCGGGGAAACCAGAAGACTCAGGGAAACTCAGAAGACTCAGGGAAACACGGAGACCCAACGAAGACGACGCGACCAAGAACAAGACTGAACAGACGGCTTATATACAGGGACAAGACGAGACGTGATTACAAACAGCTGTGACGAGACAAGGGTGGCACCAATTGAACTAAAGAGAAAACACTAGGGAACACAGACACAAACCGGGCCACCAAATGGTACCATCCTAACATAAATGAATCCACTTTGATAACAGTTTATCTGTTTTAAATTGTGCTCTACAAATAAAGATGACTTGACTTGACTTGAATTATTTAAATTTTCATGTTCCTAGAACAACTGGCTGAGGTGGAGGAGTAGCTTCTATTTTTCAGTCAAGATTACTGATTAATGCCAAACCAGTTATTAGTTATGATTCTTTTGAATCACTGTCCCTCAGTCTTTCTCATCCAAAATGGAAATCAGAAAAGCCACTTTTACTAGTTGTTATATATCGTCCACCAGGTGCTTACTCTCAGTTTTGTCTGAATTCTCAGAATTATTAACTGACTTACTATTAAATACTGATAAAATCATCATAATGGGTGATTTCAATATTCATGTGGATGTTGAGAGTGATAGCTTAAGCATAGCCTTTAATAATTTAATAGACTCATTTGGTTTTACCCAAAACGTCCGCACATCTACTCATTCTTATCATCACACTCTTGATTTAGTTCTGACCTATGGTATAGAGATTAAGGATTTGGTAATAGTTCCTCAAAATCCTATTCTGTCCGACCATTTTTTAACAACCTTTGAGTTTACATTAAATGACTACACAGTCATTGAGAGTAAATTTCATCCAATCAATTACTTAGACTACAAGCATGTCTTAAAGACATAAAAACCTGGATGACCCTTAATTTTCTCCTGTTGAACACAGACAAGACTGAGGTTTTGGTTATTGGACCTGAGTATCTTAGGAATGAATTTTTCAGTCTTTCTCCCTCCTTAGATGGCATTAATCTGTCCTCCAGCTCTAATGATAAAAATCTTGGTGTTATTTTTGATCAGGACATGTCTTTAATCCCCCACATTAAAAACATTACTAGAACTGCCTTCTTCCACTTGCGTAATATCACTAAAAATGGAAACATCTTATCTAAAAATGATGCAGAAAAACTGGTCCATGCATTTGTCACGTCTAGACTGGACTATTGCAATGGTTTATTATCTGGGTGTCCAAATACTTCTTTAAAACGTCTTCAGTTGATTCAAAATGCTGCTGCCAGAGTCTTAACTGGAGTTAGTAGGAGAGATCATATCTCTCCAGTTTTAGTTTCTCTCCATTGGCTCCCTGTCAAATCCAGAAAAGAATTCAAAATCTTACTTCTAACCTACAAAACTCTCAACAACCTGGCTCCATCTTATAATACAGATCTTATTGTCCCATATTTTCCTAACAGAGCACTTCGCTCTCAGGCTGCAGGTTTACTTGTGGTTCCTAGAATTTACAAAAACAGAATGGGAGGCAGATCTTTCAGTTATCAGGCTCCTCTCTTGTGGAACCAACTTCCAATCTCTGTCCGTGAGGCTGACACATTGTCCAGTTTTAAAACTAGGCTTAAGACGTTCCTTTTTGCTAAATCCTATAGTCAGGGTCAGCTTGGGTTTCCCGAGCTGTCTCTTAGTTATGCTGCTATAGGCTTAAACTGCTGGAGGACAAACTGACCACACTTTTCACTCTGCTACTGTCTTTAATTACTCTGCTCAACTTGTTTTGTATTTGTAATTATTTTTTCTATCCTTAACATGTTTTTTTTGCCTTTCTGGTACACCTGGACCTATACCTACCATTCTGTGTTCGTCTGTCTCTCCTTCCTGTCCTCACAAACCAGCCGGTCAAAGCAGATGGCTGCTTGTCCTGAGCCTGGTTGTGTTGGAGGTTTCTTCCTTTTAAAAGGGAGTTTTTCCTTTCCACTGTTGCCACTGTGCTTGCGCAGGATGGGAGACTGCAACGAAGCCAAGATTCAACTTTTTGCTTGATTCCTTAGATAGAGAACTTTACTAATTGGCTTTTCTATGTATGTGAATGTTTCTGTAAAGTGCCCTGAGACAACTTTGTTGTGATGCCATATAGGTTGCCTGGGCTTGTTTTAAAACGTGTCAGTTATAAAACAAACATTCGTTTGGCTAGCCATTAGCCTAGCATGGATGAAGACTTCCTCTTCTTTCTTCATTCTCTCTGCTCTGATGTCACTGCTAATAAGGTTCTAACTACTGATAACCGATTGACAGAACATCCATCCATCCATTCTCTTCTGCTTATCTGGGGTCGAGTCACGGGGGTAGCAGCCTAAGTAGGGAGACCCAGACTTCCCTCTCCCCACCCACTTGGGCCATCTCCTCTAGGGGAATCCCAAGGCATTCCCATGCCAGCCGAGAAACATAGTCCCTCCAGCGTGTCCTGGGTCTTCCTCTGGGTCTCCTTCTGGTGGGATTTGCCCGGAACACCTCACCAGGGAGGCATCCAGGAGGCATCCTAACCAGATGCCCGAGCCAACTTAACTGGCTCCTCTCGATGTGGAGAAGCAGCGGCTCTACTCTGAGTCCCTCCCGGATGACCGAGCTTCTCACCCTATCTCCAAGGAAGAGCCCAGACACCATGCAGAGAAAACTCATTTCGGCCGCTTGTATCCGAGATCTCGTTCTTTCGGTCACAAAGCAAAGCTCATGACCGTAGGTGAGGGTAGGAATGTAGATCGACTGGTATATTGAGAGCTTCGCCTTTTGACTCAGCTCTCTCTCTTCACCACGACAGACCGGTACAGCGCCCTCTTCACTGCCGATGCTGCACCTATCCGCCTATCGATCTCTCGCTCAATTTTTCCCTCATTCGTGAACAAGACCCTGAGGTACTTAATCTCCTCCACTTGGGGCAGGACCTCCTCCCCAACCCGTGGATGACACTCTATCCTTTTCTGGCTCAAGACCATGGCCGCGGATTTGGAGGAAATGATCTCATCCGGGCCGCGTCACACTCGGCTGCAAATTGCTCAAGTGAAAGCTGTAGATCATGACCTGATGAAGCCAATAGGACCACATCATCTGCGAAAAAACAGAGAAGAGATCCTAAGGCCACCAAAATGGATCTCCTCAACACCTTGGCTGTGCCTAGAAATTATGTCCATAAACGTTATAAACAGAATCGGTGACAAAGGGCAACCATGGTGGAGTCCAAGTCTAACTGGGAATGAGCCCGACTTACTGCCGGCAATGTGGACCAAGCTCTGACACCAGTCGTACAGGGACCTAACAGCCCGTATTAAAGGGTCTGGTACTCCATACTCCCAGAGTACCCCCCCCACCCCCCCACCCCCCACAGGGCTCTCCGAGGGACGCGGTCGAATGCCTTCTCCAAGTCCACAAAGCACATGTAGACTGGTTGGGCAAACTCCCACGCACCCTCCAGGACCCTGCTGAGGGTGTAGTGTAGTGAACTCGGCCTCCGACCAAAACCTGCCTCTAAAGACCTTCATGGGACAGGAACTGTTATTTCATTGATTTGAATCCAGAAATACAAATTAGCTCATCCAGAGACTGTCTAATTGTATCCTGAAGTAATCAATTGAAAGAACACTCTTCTTTTAATATTATCATTACTATTACAATATCTTGATAAATCAAGTGTGTTTAGTTCATATAATTTCTAAAGTTGAAATGAACTACTCCTTTTAAATCAACTGTGAAACAGTATTAATGATTTTTTTACACCTCGTTTAAATTAGAAATCAAGTTAAATGTCTATTTATAAAGTAATTATGCAGTTTGATTTTCTGTCTAAAGGAGAAGTAGTGATGTCGGTCAAAAGTCAGAGACAGTCAGAAAGAAGTTATTAGAATGAAGTGTATTGTTTTTAAACCTAGCAGACAGTAAATAAGAGCAACTGGCACCTGTAAAATTTCTCACTTCTTCAAAACATTTCTCTGTCTGTTCTAAACGTTCCTAAACATTCCTGCTGTCCTCTTGACTTGTAATAACCCTCTGACATCACTAGAACCACCCCCTGTTGGTTGTTTCAAGGAATCGGGAAGTCCTGAGTGACCGGAAGTGAGAACTCTTTAAAAGTCCACACTTCCTGGAACTACTCAGTCAGTCTTCTGAGTCGAGTTGGGGTCTAGCCAGTCGAGTCTAGCCAGTCTAGTCTTCCAGTTTCCTGAGTCTTTCTTGGGATTATGGAGTCTTCTACATCTGAGTGGAAACTCTGACGGACTCACGGCTTGCTGTGAATCCACCCGGGAGCTGAGCGTGTTTGTTGAACGGAGTAAACGACACGATTTCTGACAATGGCCAGCCGCTCTTACTGGAGACGCTGGAAGGTAGCGTTGAAATGGACCCGACACCGGAGCTGATTTATCTTCTGCAAAGGTAACGAGTCGTGACACGCCAAGTGTACCGGAGGTTTGAGCTAGTGTTGGAGGAAGCGTGCCATCCTGGTCCGAACAGACACCCCCTTTACCCATCTTTTCTCTTCATTCCTTCCTTTAAACTCTTATATTTTGCCAGTAATCTAGATGCCTTCAGAAATGTCTTGTTGTCTTATTCGTAAAGCGTGCCAAGTTTTAGTAATCAGAACCAGATCAGCTAATCACGTGTACATGATTTGATGTTAAATTTTGATTCTGTTAAATAAATGACCACATTTATTCTGATGGGTCAAAGGAAATTAACGTCTCATGTCACTGATTTAAACACAGTCCTCACAGTACTTCGTCACATGGCAGAAATTTAACTCAAAAAAGAGCGAACCCGTTATATTTAAATAATTAGTAGTGGAGGGTCAGAAAGCTGATCTTGACACCACTACAAGAGCTGGTCCAATGTTCCACAACTAAAACCGCATTGCTCCTCCTGAATCTGAGGTTTGACTATCCAACAGACCCTCCTTTCCAGAACCCCCAAATAGACCTTACCAGGGAGGCTTAAGAGCATGATCCCCCTGTAGTTGGAACACACTCTATGGTCCCCCTTTTTGAATAGGGGGACCACCACCCCAGTCTGCCAATCCAGAGGAACTGCCCCTGATGTCCACACGATATTGCAGAGTCGTGTAAGCCAACACAAGCCCACAACATCCAGAGCCTTAAGGAACTCCGGGCAAATCTCATCCACCCCTGGGGTCTTGCCACTAAGGAGCTTTTAAACCACCTCAGTGACTTCAGTACCAGAGATTGGAGAGCCCAACCCAATGTCCACAGGCTCTGCTTCCTCATTGGAAGACATGCCAGTGGGATTGAAGAGGTTTTCAAAGTATTCTGCCCACCGACCCACAACATCCCGAGTTGAGGTCAGTAGCACACCACCTCCACTATAAATAGTGTTGGTGGCATACTGCTTTCCCCCCCGAGATGCCGGATGGTGGACCAGAATTGTCTCGAAGCCGTACGGAAGTCATTCTCCATGGCCTCTCTGAACTTCTCCCACACCCGAGTTTTTGCCTCAGCGACCACCCGAGCCGCATGTCGCTTGGACTGCCAGTACCCATCAGCTGTTTTTGGGGTCCCACAGGCAAAAAGGCCCGATGGGACTTCTTTAGCCTGACAGCATCTCTTACCGCCGGTGTCCACCACCGGGTACAAGGGTTATCACCACAACAGGCACTGACAACCTTGCGGCCACAGCTCCGATAAGCCGCCTCGACAATAGAGGCGCAGAACATGGCCCACTCGGACTCAATGTCCCCCGCCTCCCCCAGAACGTGTTTCCAAGGTCTCCCGGAGGTGGGAGTTAAAGCTCTGTCTCACGGGAGACTCTGCCAGACGTTCCCAGCCGACCCTCACAATACTTTTGTGTCTGCCAGGTCTGACCGGCATTCTTCCCCACCATCGGAGCCAACTCACCACCAGGTAGTGGTCAGTGGACAGCACCACTCCTCTCTTCACCCGAGTGTCCAAGACATGTGGCCACAGATCAGATGAGACAACAACAAAGTCGATCTTCAAACTGCAGCCTAGGGTGTCCTGGTGCCAAGAGCACATATGGACACCCTTATGCTTGAACATGGTGTTCGTTATGGACAATCCATGACGAGCACTGAAGTCCAATAACAGAACAGCACTCAGGTTCAGATCACGGGGGCTGTTCCTCCCAACCACACCCCTCCAGGTCTCACTGTCATTGCCCACATGAGCATTGAAGTCCCCCAGTAGAACAAGGGAGTCCCAGGAGGTGCACTCTCCAGTACCCCCTCCAAGGACTCCAAAAAGTGTGGGTAATCTGAGCTGCTGTTTGGTGCATAAGCATAAACAACAGTCAGAACCCGTCCCCCCACACGTAGGCGGAGAGAGTCTATCCTCTCATTCACCGAGGTGAACCCCAACGTACAGGCAACAAGTATGCCCACTCCTGCTCAGCGCCTCTCACCATGGGCAACTCCAGAGTGGAAGAGTGTCCAACCCCTCTCAAGGAAACTGGTTCCAGCCAGAGCCATGCGTTAAGGTGAGTCCAACTATTTCTAGCTAGAATCTCTCAACCTCACACACCAGCTCAGGCTCTTTCCCCACCAGAGAGGTGACATTCCATGTCCCAATAGCCAGCTTCTGTAGCCAAGGATCAGACCGTCAGGATCCCCGCCCTCGGCCACCACCCATCCCACATTGCACCCGACCCCTTTGGCCCTTCCCACAGGTGGTGAGCCCACGGGAAGGGGGACCCATGTCGCCTGTTTTGCTGTGCCCGGCCGAGCTCCATGAGTAAAATCCTGGCCACTAGGTACTCGCAAGCATGCCCCACCTCCAGGCCCGGCTCCAGAGTGGAGCCCCAGTTACCCACGTCTGGGCAAGGGAACATTGTTTCCATAGATTGTACTCATCATAAGGGGTCTTTGGGCTGCACTTTGTCTGGTCCCTCACCTAGGACCTGTCTGCCTTGGCTGACCCTACTAGGGACATGAAGCCCCTGACAGCATAGCTCCTAGGATCACTGGGACACCCAAACTCCTCCACCACGGTAAGGTGGCAGCACAGGAAGGGGTGACATAACATAATTTCAAAAATTATCAGGCTATTCCTTTAAGGAAGGGGTTACCAACAAAATCTGAATTGCAGAATCTGGCAAAGGTTTTCCAGAGTAAGACTTGGTCCATGTGGTTCTATCAGCTGCTGAATGATGGTTCTTGATGTGGTGCCATCTGAGGGACTGGGGACCATGGATGTCCTTCTTAAATGGCTTCGCTCAGGGTCCACTGGCACAGTACCTATCGGTCTACCAGTTCCCTCTGGAATGACCCTGTTGCTATAGGAATCCCAGTGCGGTCAGCAGTTGTATGTGTACAGGCAGCGCACGGCTCCTCGCTGTGTCGCGTGCCAGGACTGGCCGCAGCTCCAAGCACAGTTCCAGAAGGATTGACCTTAGAAACCTAAAATGTCTGATGAGCCAGCCGTCATCGTGGTCCAGAAAACCCTTTCTCTAAATACCCTCTGTGTATTGATCCATTTGTTATATCCTCTAATAAGGCTAAAGCCATTGTTGTTGAAGGGATTTTCTGCCCTATTTTGTACAATCTTTTACAAGTGGCTGTATTAATTGTTCATTGGGTGTCCTGTGTGTACGGTAGTAATTTTCACATCATCAACAGTTTCCCAGAATCACCTCTATGTGTCTCTAATGGACAAATATCCATAGAAACATACGTATGCCAGCCAAGAATTTGGCGTATGGCTGCACACATTTCCACTGTCATTTTATTCTTGATACATCTGAAGTTTTGAGTGAAAAGGGGTGTATGCCATGTTTTTGTGTTTACGCACACTTTGTACATGGGGACCCTGGTCTTTAGTTTTTCTGAGGTGCAGCTGGTCCACAAAGGTGACTAGGTCTTTTCAGCTGTAGCTCAATCTTAAATTTCCCCAATCACAATGTTTCTTAGATTGTGTTGCTGCCTGAAATGGAGAAGCCTGTAGCAACTGACTGAATGAAGTTGAGACAATGATGAAACATCCTGGTTTCAAAAAAGTCTCACCGTCACTCCAACGTTGCTGGGCTCTCGGCCCTCCACCAGCTTGTAGATGGACTGCAGAGCCTCCTCCTTACTTTGACCTTTGAATTTTTTGGGAGCCAACTGTTTGAGTGCTTCCTCAAACTCCTCGTAGGTGATGACTCGAGCAGTCCTCTGTCTGAACACACAGAGAAAACAAGCGTGTATGGACTTGAAACAGTAATTCTTTTGTCAATAATATTTTCTGATTCTTACACGCACGCAACAACAAGCCTAGTTTCAAGGAAGTCACAGGCCATTCAGAGACAAATTCAACTCTGCTCCAATTGAAAATTATGCATTTTGAGAAAAGTTCAAAATTAAGAGCTTGTGTTTATTTCTTGGTTATTATTTTATGCCATAGTTTACTGCAACTGGAAGCAAAAATATTCAAGTCATTAGAGCATAGTCATGAGGTGCATTCAAGTAAGGATCTGTTAGTCACCTATTATGTAAAGGGTATGATATTAATCTGATAAACCTGCTGTTTGACTGCCGTAGACTGTGTGCTACCTATTTTTTTAATGGAATTCTTGAAAACATTTTGAACAACAATTGGGGGTATTACTCATAAAAACACTTACTTCACTTTGGAAAAGACAATGTCCACATCAGTGCTGGTGACATTCTTGTTGTCAGTGATCTTGCAGTCCTTGCACAGTTTGGCCCAGTTCTTCCCGTTCAGCTCCTTCCCAGTTGCCTTTGTGTCTCCATGAACAGCAAATCTTTTGAAAGTCAAAAGGAGCTGCTCCATGTCTGAACTCTCTGCCATGACGGGATGATGGCTAAAAGACGACACGATAAAAAACAAAACAAACAAAGCTAAGCTTCGTGAGATGAACAACAGTTCCCCAACCTATTACTAGTAGAAACAGTTTTTATCATGATCAGTGGCCCCTGCTGACCCCTCATCAGCCCCTGTCTCACACTCACAGCCCCATCAAGTCATGTTTCTGCTCCTCTTTGTCATCATGCTGTTATTCTTCTGTCATTAGCTAAATCTCCCATGGTCCCTGATAGTGAAGCCATCAGTCATAGTATCCTGTTCCATAGTTTTGTCTTTTGCCTTGTCTTGCCTTGAACCCTCGCCTGTTTGACTCCTCGCCTTGCCTTGCCCCTCTCTGGATTTGTCTGCATATCTGACCATGGTAACAACTCTTGCTCTCCCTTTGACTACTCTTTTGGATCATGACTCGGCCCTGTTCTTGTTTCTCTGCTTCTACTTGCTTTACCCCTGCTACGACCATTGGACCACGCCTCTGGATTTCACCTGCCACATTCAGACTGAGAAGTTTGGACTCCTGCCTTGGACCCTGAGCCCAGCAATCAGCAGACTAGTTAATAAAAACTGTTCTTGTTTTTGCACTCCAGTGTCTGGCTTACTCTGAATCCTAAACCCAATTGTGACTTTTCATAGCTCATCGCCTGCTGCAGCTCTGACCCCATCGCCTGCTGTAGCTCTGACCCCATCGCCTCTGCAGCTCTGACCTCATCGCCTGCTGCAGCTCTGACCCCATCGCCTGCTGTAGCTCTGACCCCATTGCCTGCTGCAGCTCTGACCCTATCGCCTGCTGCAGCTCTGACCCCATCGCCTGCTGCAGCTCTGACCCCATCGCCTGCTGCAGCACCACATGCCTCCACACCACCTGCTACAGCACCACAGGCCTCCACGTCACCCGCTGCAGGGCCCCAGGTCTCCACGTCGCCCGCTGCAGGGCCCTAGGTCTCCACGTCGCCCGCTGCAGATCCCCAGGTCTCCACGCTGCCCGCTGCAGGGCCCCAGGTCTCCACGCCACCCACTGCAGAGCCACAGGCCTCCACGCCGCCCGCTGCAGAGCCACAGGCCTCCACACCGCCCGCTGCAGAGCCACAGGCCTCCACGCCACCCGCTGCAGGGCCACAGGTCTCCATGCCTCCCGCTGCAGATCCACAGCCATTCACGTCACCCGCTGCAGGGCCACAGGCCTCCACGTCGCCCACTGCAGGGCCCCAGGTCTCCACGTCGCCCGCTGCAGGGCCCCAGGTCTCCACCCTACCCGCTGCAGAGCCACAGGCCTCCACGCCGCCCGCTGCAGATCCACAGCCATCCACGTTGCCCGCTGTAGATCCACAGCCATCCATGTCGCCCGCTGCAGATCCACAGCCATCCACGTCACCCACTGCAGATCCACAGCCATCCATGTCACCCGCTGCAGGGCCACAGGCCTCCTCACCACCCGCTGCAGGGCCACAGGTCTCCACGCCGCTCACTGCAGGGCCCCAGGTCTCCACGCCGCCCGCTGCAGGGCCCCAGATCTCCACGCTGCCCATTGCAGGGCCCCAGGTCTCCACGCCACCCACTACAGATCTGGTCCCATCTCGAGGTCTTGGAAGGTCGCCCGGCCTTTTTCCCTGGACATTGCTAATTGTCGGACGACCTCCTGGCAGCCCACCTGACCCCTCTGGATGGCCATTCTGTCTACCAATTTATTCGTCTGGATGCCAGACCTTAATGGGGGGGGGGGGCTATGTCATGATCAGCAGCCCTCGCTGACCCCCATCAGCCTCTGTCTCATACTCACAGCCCCTTCATGTCATGTTTCTGCTCCTCTTTGTCATCATGCTGTTTTTCTTCTGTCATTAGCTAAACCTCCCATGGTCCCTGATAGTGAAGCCTTCAGTCATAGTATCATGTTCCATAATTTTGTCTTTTGCCTTGTCTTGCCTTGAACCCTCGCCTGTTTGACTCCTCGCCTTGCCTTGCTCCTCTCTGGATTTGTCTGCATATCTGACCACGGTAACGACTCTTGCTCTCCCTTTGACTACTCTTTTGGATCATGACTCGGCCCTGTTCTTGTTTCTCTGCTTGTACGTGCTTGACCCCTGCTATGACCATTGGACCACGCCTCTGGATTTCACCTGCCACATTCAGACTGAGAAGTTTGGACTCCTGCCTTGTACCCTGACCCCAGCAACCAGCAGACTAGTTAATAAAAACTGTTCTTGTTTTTGCACTCCTGTGTCTGGCTTACTCTGAATCCCAAACCCAATCGTGACAGTTTTTGGACATTCTGACATAAATCAAAACTCCCCATCATTTTAATGTTAAAATGGCAGAAAAGCCCAGGGGGTGGAGGAGTTCCTCAAGGCTCTGGATGTTGCTGGGCTGTGAAATATAATTTTATCAGATAATATATTAACTTAATGAAACGTCTAGATATATGTATCCTGTTTTGTTATTTAGAATGATATTTTGTTAAAACACAATCTGATTCTATTTCCGGTAGAGATTGTAGTTTTAGTTTTATGCCTACAACTCCCAACATTCACATACCCACCCATTATAGAACACAAGATGGGTAGATGTTATTGGTTGAGAGATGGGTCACATGATAAAGTACAGCTTCCCATTCATCAATGGTGGTGAATCCTCCTGGAAGGTGAGATCAAGCTCTAAAGAAGATGGGTTTTCTATTACACTCGGGACCATTGTTTGTGACTGCATAGTGAGGTGGCAATGGCCCAGGGCTGGTGATCTTTGTAATTTATGTAGAGGAAAGGGTTCTCAGATCATTGAATTTTTATTAGTAATTTTATTCTGAAGGGGTACCACTTGCTTTCCAGTTCTTAAGCAAGAAAATTATTAATCAGGCTCAAGATTTGTGCTCTGGGAGTTCTTTTCTCATGTTTAAAGGGCATCAAATCAGTAATACACACAGATGTGCCAAAATAATCACAAATGTAGTTGATATGATGTATTTTAGTACAAAAATAATGATCTGTGATATATCTGATAAAGATTATTCATAACAAACAAATGAATAACGAAATAGCTTTGTATCAAAGGTCTACTTGATTATTAAAATCTGTGAAACTTTTAAAAAGGCAGATTTTTTGGACTGGTTCTGTTTGTGGAGTAGTTGTGTCTAAATTAACTGTGGTGTATATCAAGCAATATTATTGTGATGTATGACCACCAGAAAGTGCGTTGAAGGGTCTCTCTCACCAGAATGAGCTGTCAGAATGTCCACAACTGCTTAAATTGATACCAGCAAGGCCTGAGATGCTCCGGTGACTGAGAGGAGGATTTTTTCCTCAAAGATCACCTATCATCAGTTGGAGGGACGAAGGTCCGGCCACTGGCTCTGAAGTCAACTGGGATTTACCACTCTGCGGTGTGATGCTCTGGTTCGTCAGGTTCTCTCGTCCTGAGACGTTTGCAGAAAAGATTTTTCTCTTCTTCCCAGGACATCTCACTAGGAGGAAGTTTCTTCTCTGAAGTTTGCTCGAAGTTCAATGCTTGAAGAAGATGTGATGGAAGTAGTTGTGTAGAAGCATAAGTGAAGAAGTAGAAGTTTTTCATTCAACTTTAAATTTAGACAGGTAAATCCCATTGAGCCTAGAGGACTCGTTTAAAAGAGAGACCTGAAAGTGGTGTAGAAGTGAAACTTAACTTAACAGTCTGTGTGTTACAGATTGACTTTGGACCACACCTCAAAAGACGGGGTGGTCCTAACTCTTTGTCATGTTTAAAAAAAAATCACAGTCCATTTTCTCTGTCTGCCTTTAAAAAGTCACTCTTCTTTTTAAAATGAGAAAAATAAAACATGATTATCTTAAAGAGATTATTTGAAACACACATTTTCATAAATAAACATTCAGATATGACATATTTTTAAATAACATGCAATGTTCATCAAAAGGTGTCGCTGTTCATCTCCTGGAAAAAAAATGTCCTGAAACAAAAGGGTTCTCATGGTGTTATCTGCATGGGAACCCATCCTGGGAGTAATACTCCTTTTTTTTGTTGATAAAAGTTAAAGTCTCGGCAGATGTTTCACTTCAAGGTCGTTTGAACCAAACTCATTAAAACGATCTGTCCGTTTCATCTGAAATGAGTTCATATTGGAAGTGGTTAACACAGTAACAGTTTTTTTTATACATTCACATTAGTGTCAACTAAGGAGTTTGTGAGCTGAGTTGAACACCTGTAAAATAAAGTCTGTTTGTTCCCAAGGGAATAGATGCATCTTATTTTAAACAGTTCAAAACACAAAACACATGAATGATGTTTGTTTGAGATGAGGTGAACTGTTTCTGAGGTGGTGTTCTGTTTCTGAGGTGGTGTTCCCCTACATTTACATGTGGGTAAAATAAACCTTCTGAAATGGATGACGATTGCTCCTCCTCTCCCTGCTCCAGGTATAGAATATATTATAACAGCTGTTTTTGTTGACACGTCATTGGAACATTGTGCGGACATTAGGCCGTGTCATTGGACTGGCAGACAGGTGTGGGGGTTCCTCTTTTCAAGAAGTGGACACAAAACAAGTGTTCCACTTGCAGAAAAATCATGCTCCTCAGCCTCTCTGGTAGGGTTTGTTCAGGGTGCTGGAGAAGAGACTGGATGATGGTTAAACCATGGATTCAGGAGGAACTTGGTGGGTTATGTCCCAGCAAAGGAACACTAGACCTGTTCTTCACCCTTGCTAGGGTCTTTGAGGGGACACTGAAGCTGTCTAACCAGTCTCCATGTGTTTAGTAGACTTGGGGAATGCGTTTGACTGTTTTTCCTGGGGTACCCTGTAGGGGGTGCTTCGTGAGTATAAGATTGGAGCCTGTTGCCATTTTGGGGCATTTTGTCCCTATTGAAATGGTGTGAAAAGCTGATTCTTATTATTGGTAGTAAGTTGGGCCTCCTCGGAAGGAGAAATTGACTCTGCCAGGGCTGCTTATTGTAAATAATTATGTTTATAACTTTTGTGGACAGAATTTCTTGGCACATCCAGGGGCACAGAAAAGTTTG